TCATCGGCGACCTGGGATACGTGGACATCGAGTTCAAGGTATTGATACACCTAGACACCAAAAACTACGGAGCGTACTACGTGGACGTCGTCATCGGCGACCTGGGACACGTGGACATCGAGTTCAAGGTATTGATACACCTAGACACCGAAAACTACGGAGCGCACTACCACTTCGACTTGCGGTTTCGACAGTTTGTATTTAAGAGGGTTATTTTGATAGTTTATGTTATGTGTATGAAGAAGGAGAAGAAAGGGAAGATAGAGAAAGGAGGAGGAAGAAACGATAAAATTAGCTTTTGCGATGACAATTAATAAGTCACAGGGACAAACATTTGACAAAGTAGGAATAGATCTTCGAAAAGATGTTTTTAATCATGGACAACTTTATGTTGCCTCTTCACGCGTTCGTACTTGGCAAGCATTAAAAGTTTATCTTGGTAATCAGCGAGATAATAAACAAGTTAAAAACTATGTATATAAAGAAATATACATAGTTGATTTTTTCCTTTAAATTAGAAATAAAATCAAATAAATAAAACCTATCTAGATAAGAAAGAATTATATTGAATAAGCTGGACTTTTTGATATGTTATAAAAATGTGAGACAATGATAGGATGGGATCAAATGCAAAAGAATAGTTGAAGATAAAAGTGTATAGTAAAAACAAAGTTAAATAAATAAAAATTATCAGGATAAGAGAGAATAATTTTGAATAAGCCAGATTTTGAGATTTATTTAAAAGGAACGTGATATAGAATGAATGAAAATGATAGTGATAGTGACTAAAAGTGAAATTTAGTAAAAATGATAGAAAACTAAAAAGAGAATAATGTTAATTGGCGTACGCAATATAATATTTTAATGTTCTAATATAATGTGGAAGAACAATGGCGCGCGCTTCGCGCGCGCATGTGTTGTTCTACGAGGGCGGTTCAAATATGATCGAGACAAACGCTGTAGATGGCGCGCCTGTATGTTTTGAAGGTCGCGGCTTGAGTATGTGATAGCTGGGTCCCTTACGAACAGTGTGGCATAGTTTTCGTCGCGAACGCACGTTTCACGCGCGTGATACGATCATGAGTGAACGAGAGGTGAAAAAAAGTTGTCACGCAGCGAGCAGCGAGCTTTTTTAACAACTTTTTCGGCGCGCCGCTCCACCTCTCGCTATTAGATGATGCCCCACCGTTGCCTGCCGAGTCCAGCCTGCCGCCTTCTACGCTCTCATTCGCTCAGATATTAAAATTAATTTCTCGATAACTACTGCGAATTTTGCAAAATAGTATAGAACTTTTCTATTCAGTTTGCCCCGGTCTATCTGCCATCTACGGGACATACGGGTATTAGGACACACCCTGTATAATTTTTGCATGTATATTTGTATGCGCGCGCGCGCGCGTGTGTGTGTGTGTGTGTGTGGGGCGTGCGTTCAAATTTACAATTCTACACAGTTCTGTATAACTTTATACATTTAGACATTGTTTTAGATGAAACAAATTGTAATGTCAAAAATTGCTAATTTATAATTGTGTACAATTGTATGTGTGTGGTGTACGCCTCTCTCTCTCTCTCTCTCTCTCTCTCTCTCTCTCTCTCTCTCTCTAGCGTGCCCGCGATATATTTTTGTATGTACATATATTTGTATGGTTATATAGGGTTAAGGCATATATTGTTATGTTTGTGTATATACAGGGTGTCTGATGCAAAAGTAGCCACTTTGCAAATAGCGGTAGATTGGGTTAAACTAAGGAGAAATATCATGTACCGAGGTACAAAGTAACAATAGTTACCGACAAAGAAATTTATACGTTTGAGCGAATGAGGATGCAGGAGACGGTAGGCCGGACTCGGGAGGCATTTAAGAAAATCGATCGATGAGCGGGAGGTGGAGCAACGCGCGAGATACACCGTGGTGGGAAAAAACCTAGGTGCGGCAGGGAGCGCGGCGCGGGCGGCGAGCGCGGCAGCGAGCGCGAGCGACGGGCGAGGGGGGCAGCGAGCGCGAGCGACGGTCGAGGGGGTCGCGCACTCGGTTCTAGAGGGTGCCGGCACTCCTCCGCGCACCTACGCGTCAAAGAGTCACACCAGTTAGAAAGAACAAGGACTTTATTAGAATTACAACACGTCAGCACGGCTCGAGAGCCAAGCTTCGAATCTATCGATTGATTTCATAAACAACAGAAGCCGATCGGTATCGTGGCAACCCGCCACGATACCGGGCGCCGCTTTCCGCTTGTGAGCAGGATTCCTCGCGAGCGTAACAATATAGATTAATATATTTTCTTTGTGCTTCCGCCAAACGTGCAGAACCCGATGTACAATGTCCTTTCGTGATATGCGTGACGTCAAGTTTACTTGACGAAAACCAACCTGAGATTTCCAAGATTGATCGAATTCTTCAAAATGTTCTCGAGAGCTAGATGACAAATAAAGTTTTGATTCAAAATTTTGAACATTTGTGGTTGATTAAAAGTTTTAGTATGTATATCAATAGGAAAATTTTGGATATCTGGTACAATAACCAGACGGTTTGCAGGAAATAAAACATGCTGAAGGTGTTAAATGAGGTAAAGCATCAATTTTGATTGGATAATAATACAGAATCGAATATATTGCATGGACAACACAAACAGTTTATAAAATCTTTACAAATATTTTGTAAATATCTTATAAACGTTGCCTGCTGTCTGGATGAATGTACAGTAGTAGTATTTGTTACTTTTTACGTGCACTCGCAGTTACTATGCATTTCAGCGTACCTAATGCATTATTTTCTAAAACTGCGTTATAATTACAGACACATTTAAGCAGCAATGTTTGTGTTAATCACAACATATCTTTAGTACCTAATTTGTCTGGTACCTTACCCAGGGAAATTATTAAGAATGTGCCGTACGAAAAAGGATGCTTGCTGTTGGATCATTTACAACGTCTTTTAGGATATAAAAATTTACATCTTATTAAATGTTATCATGTAACTCGCTTCTATGAATATCAGACTAATGATTTTAAGAGACATCTGTATCATACTTTTCTTGTTGATATGCAGGTGACATGTTTCTTGTGCAAAAAACCAGAGTTTAAGAAATTTCCATTTATTAAGCAACGAATAATAAACTTTATTATGTTGTTATCAGGTGTTAGAAATTGTAGATTGGGAAATGTGGTTCAAAGAACAAAATTTACCATTGCATCACATGTTCTCCGACATACAAATTAATAGTTACTATGATGGGGAAACATTCATCAAAGAAGAGTCAAAAGATATTTTGCAATCTATAATGAAGAGGCACTTAAACGACTCTGCATTTAGAAAAATAACATTTATAAGCTATTTGAGTTGGAATGTATTCCGTATAGTTCCAGATCTACAAGTTATCTATGTTGCAACGTGCGTATTTGTCGAACGTGGAGTGTCGAAACACGGTAACTATGCTCATCCATGTTCAGATGGTACCCTAGAAGCACAGTGCATTGGCTAAACATTGGTCCAATACAATCAAAATAATGGGCCAGTATTTAACAAATGTTTGGTCATTGCATTGTGCTATCAGGATATTGAAATATAACGCGCACTTATTTCGCAGGTTTCTTTGGCTGCGCTCGTGCATTAGAAGTAGATGGGGTCCAATTATCGAAGACGCTTTACAGTTCGCCTCCGACAACTTATCTATGTCATATTATGTTTGCTCAATAATTCGTGCTATTTACGAATGGATACCAATGCGTCATCACTTGGTGTCATGGATTGAGACGAACCAGTCGAAAATGCATGCAGAAACTATACAAAACTTGGAACTCGCTCTTAAAGTTAAATTAGACAATTTGTCTACATAATTGTACAGCGATTTTTATCTCATATAGGTATAATAGGTTGAAGGTAGTATCTAAAATAAAAAAATCCGTAGAAGTTTGCTATGTGATTAATAGAATGTAATTACAATTAATACATCTTTAATATTCCACCTAACTACAATATAAATATCAGTATTAATGTTCTATTACAATAATATTATATAATTAATATATTTTAATCAATATTAATATAATTATAATAGAATCTTAATATAATTATAATAGAATATTAATACTATCAGTATTAACATTCTATTATAATATTATATTATAGTAATATTAAATATTATAATATTAATTGGACTTGGTTAAGTGGCGTGAGCGTGGATGGATGCAGGAGAGGAAGAGCGAGTAAGTTAGTAGGTATAAATTGGAGAAATCGGAAATAGGTAAGGATAAGAGTAGTAGGGAAGATGCAGAAAGAGGTATAGAAGAAGGGCAATTGGAGGCAAGACTAGGGAGAATGAAGGAGGGAAGGTGAAAGGAAGTAAGGAAATAGCGGGATAGCAAGTTAGTGTGACGCGAAGTAAGGAAAGCTTGGGCGGAAAAAGCGTAGGTAGGTATAGCCGGTAGGAACGACAGCATAAGATAAGGGCAATAGTATATAAAGAAGATTATTACAGAGGGTGGAATTTTAAGAAGGAAATATATAATGAGAAGTTAAGTTAGTACAAAGAAAGGATTGAATAAGAAAAATCAAGGAGATACCTGAAATAGTAGGTGTTTTGATTAGAAAAGATATAAGGAAAAGAAAAAGGAGAATAAAAAGAATTAGAGAAATGCAGCCCGCTAGGGGAGGAAAGGAAAGCGTAGGAGGAATTGATAAAGAGGATGGGGGGGGGGTATATAATTGTGATGTATGGAATACAATAGAGAAGGGTAGGATGGTAGATTAAGAGATAGAAAAGAATAAAATAAGATAATATGTAAGAAGGTAAATTTTGGAAATTAGGAAAATTGTAGTAAATAGTGTTTAGCAAAGGGCATTAGAGGGGTATAAAAATGAAGAGGTGAGCGCTGTGGGTAAATAATAAGGTAGGAGAGTAATATTGTAAATAGGATAGGTTAAAAAGAGAGTAGGAGGAAGAAGAAGAAGACAGGCGGAGAACCAGGAAAGGAGAGTAAAAGAGGAAGGAGAAGGAGATCAAGGGGAAGAAATAGATAAAAGAGTAGGAGAAGAGGCAGCACTACCTATATAGAACAATGATGGGAACCGAAAGGTAAGAAAGTGAGAGAAATATGGAATTTGGAAGAGGTATGAAAAGGAAACGGAAGACTGGTTAAGCAAGAAGTAAGATGGAAGGAGCATGGAGAGAGAACAAGTAAGGTATTAATCGCTTGGCCTACGAGGTAGGAGAGGAGAGGATGGGGGACGAGAAGTAGAAAAAGGAAGGATATACGGCAAACGTAGAAGTTAAGAGAACTCGCTCGAGTACCTTGCCCCGGATCAGTGAAGGTGGCGGGAGAGATGAGAAATTATTGTTATTATAATTAAACGCACTGCAGAAAAGACTGGTATGGACATATCTCTCTGCAGGACATAGAAGGGGAAGGAGTAAAGGCTGCGGAAGGTATGCAGAGAGTGGAGATAGGAAGAAAAATACGGCGGAAGGGTTAGAAGACAGTACGAGAAAGAAAGAATAGAATGCAGTTGAAGATCGTTGGGGAGCGACGTCTTGCCACTTTCGACGAGAAGGGGTACAAAAGAGAAACTACTGTACGAGGAGGTAGGAGACCCAAGGAAGTAAGAACAAGATGATGAAGACAAAGGAGTAGGAATTAGGATAGGAATACGGTAGCCAAACTTGATTACGGTAAGAATAGGTATAAACAGTGTAATTGAAAAAGGAGAACAGAGGCGCAAGTAGCGTTAGGGACAGAATGCGGTGTAGGTATCGAGAAATGATTGAGTGAGTGAATGAATGAGGTAGGAATAGAATTGTAAACCAAGTCCCAATTCTTGATATGTAAGCTGAAGTGTAATAAAGATTGATCGATTATTAATAATATTATTATTATACGAATAATATTAATGTTATAATATTTATTCTTTATTAGCAGTTAATACTTTAGTAATTACTATCTGAAATTGTATAAAAGGAGAGGAGCTTCCGTCGTGTTTCGAGTTTCCCGCCCCTTTTGCTATTTCACGCGGTCATGGCCGCGAGCGGTGAGGGCGCAGCGGAGAGCGAGTGGTGCCACGCGATTCGCCAATCTAGTTCCTTCTTTTCTCGCACGAGTCGAGTCGAGGCGCACTGCGCGCAGAAGTCGTGTGACGGATGTATTATTACGAAGTTGTGTTCTGACGAGTGCTTTTTGCTTTTGTTTTGGATTGGACCGCCACGATATCTCCTGCTCATACCGTTTTGGTAATTGTGACGGCGAATCGGGACTTAGGAGGAAGGCTTTCGACATTCAGTGCCGATCGGAGGATCGGACGTCGGTCGAGCATCCTGAAAGAGAGATTGACTACATTCGCGCTGAGGCGTCCCGAAGTGAGGTTGCGGTCACTTGCATTGCGTCATACTCTGCCATTCCTGGCAACAGGTAATTTCGGACCTTCTGGACGAGGCGTGTTGTTCGTCCAAAGATCAGAGAGAGCGATTTCGATTGGTAGGCTCTGAGTACGATTTCTAGCCACCAATTTGATCTTTGGATTTCCAGAAGGTATCTATTCTACTCACTGTACACATTCCTTTCATTCTTCTGAGAGTCGTTACGGTGACAACCATCACGTGCGCAGTTCGCTGCAAATACGGGAAGGTCGTGTGGTTCACCGCCGTAACGTGCAATATGGTACATTGAGCCGTGATCCGACGATAGAAACCGGAACGGCACAGAGTTTACCGAGCAGGCACCGAAGGAATCGCTTCAAGGGCGATCTGCCCCGTCATACCGTAAGCATCTTTCATCCCTCCCGCATCGCGGCCAGGTTCACAGGGACAAGACAACTGAGAAGATACATTCATGCATTTCTTTACTCATTTCTTTATTTCTTTTAATTTCATATTGAGTTATATGCAACATGCTCGCTAGAAACGCTCGTTCTTTTATGTACTGAATTGAACCAGACGAGAGTAAATCTACTGCAATTCTTTTTCTTTTAGGAAAGATTTCTTAACTCAAGCTCAATCCCTCATCCTTCATGAATCGTCTCAGTACCTCACGGTACAGAAATTTCTTAAAACAAAATATTTAAAAGATAAATTAAAGAATTATGTGTACTTGAAGAAAATTTTGTATTTATATATCAGTATTCTTATAATTTTTTTATTATATCTATGTAATTTTTTAAATGTTATTTAATTTTCTAGTTAGTTGGAATAGCAAATGTATTAAACTTGTAGAAAGTAATTAATGAGATATTTTCTTTTTTATTGTATTTTACCATATGACGCATATAAATAAATGAACGTAATGAATTTGAAGGTGTATTATTTAAATTACATTTTGATTGAGGTAAATCAGTTATGTTACTTTGTATAATTGTAAAAATTAAAGTTGAATGATGTTGTCTGAATCTGATAAACTATTATAGTTGGTGGCTGAATTGGTTGGTATAAAAACCTAATTCAACACTTTTTATACATAATAATTGAAATGTATTAAATATAAAGGTTTAAAATTAATTCTATGGCTGAATTGTTATGAAATAATTACATACTAAATATTGCAAGACTAACCACAAATGTTAATTTTTTATCCAAGGTTAATCAGTAGTAATTTAAACTGCCATTTGAAAGATTCGAGCTATATTAGTTACAAAGATAAAATACTTAATAATAAAATTAAAGGGGTATATATGTATATTAGGGTGGTCCTTAATAGGGGTGTTTTTGAATTTCTTTGCTCCCAGGGGCTCAAATGCTTCCAAATTGATAAAAAAAAAATTCCCTGAAAATTTGAGCTCTTAATATTAACTTTAAGATAGTCCGCATTCCAACCTAAGTTTCTTATGGAAATAACATGGGAAAAATTTCATTTGTTCTTTAGAATTTCATAACTCAGCGACAAATGAATCAAAAGTAATAAATCGCGTCATGTTTATTGTTAAATTTAACGCTCTACAAAAAAGGTCTCTTATAATTTTTCGCTAAATCTATTGGCTTAAGAGTTATTCGAGCTCAAAGTTTAATTATTATATAATTATTAATATTATCAAGTATAATTATTAAGTAAATACTTATTTTATAAAATATATCAAATTTTTAGTCTTCATGGCTTCCGGTGGTTGCCGCGTCCGTTTGCAGTGTGGTGCCGACGTTTCGCAGTTTTTAAAAAACCGTCAGCCGGGATTGGCTGACTCCCCTCCCTCTGACCACGCCCCCCTGACTACCCCCTCCCTTCCCCCCAAGAACGAGTATAAAAGGACGAGCGCAACGCGAGGGAGCTCAGTATCAGAGTCTCCCAGCCCTGATGAAGCAGACTGCAACGCCTGCGAAACGTCGGCACCACACTGCAAACGGACGCGGCAACCATCCGGAAGCCATGAAGACTAAAGAAGACAACAGCCGCGAAAGCCTGAAAGCCAATATCAAATTTTTCTTATAAACTTTTTATTTATGATCAAAATAAGCGAATACAATGTTTGTAATTTTTGTGGCATTATGGACTGAGTCACTTACGCCATCTATAATAGTATTTGTGTACTCAAACACTTTGACCCTTAAAAATATTCATAAATCACCTAACCTCTAATTAAGAGAAACAATCTGTGTGAGCTGTCTAACGAAATATTTATTTATCATGACATCAAGAATAATTTTACGTCAAAATATTTATTTAATTGGTGATGTTGT